GGGACTAATAGCCCTGCCCTAAAGGACTGATAGCCCCGCCCTACAGGGCTGGTAGCTCCACCCTAAAGGGCTGATAGCCCCGCCCTAAAGGACTGATAGCTTTGCCCAAAAGGACTGATAGCCCCGCCCTAAAGGACTGATATTCCCGCCTTAAAAGACTGATTGGTCCACCATTAAAGGACTGAAAGCTCTGCCCTAAAGGACTGATAGCCCCGTCCTAAAAGACTAGTAGCCCCACCCTAAAGAACATACAGCTCCACCCTAAATGACTGATATTCCCACCCTGCAGGATTGATAACCCTGCCCTGAAGGACTGATAGCTCCACCCTAAAGGACTATTAGCTCCACCCTAAAGGACTGATAGCTCCACCCGACGGACATTTCATGTGACCAGAAATGAAGACCATGAGGCCTCCCTTAATGATCCCGCTTGCTCACTCTTTGCTGAAAATAGAGTCTCTTGAATTGGCCAAACTGACTGCCAAACAAATGAAATAAATAATTAATAACCGATTCCATCTCTTTTATACTGCTTATATGCACAGCTCTGGAATGCAGTCATCAGTCAAGAAGAGAGTAAACTCTTCCCATACAACTGGACAAAAACTAGATGAAGTAACATGCACTTCTGCGGCTGCTGACTTCAGCATCTGCCAGAAAGCACCTCTGGAGAGATACTGAGTGCTCTTTTTTGGTAAATGAGCTTGACAGCCAGGTTGACCTTTGTGCTGGTGTCAATCAAACGGCTCCGTGCGGCAGACAGAATGACTAACCAAGAATCTGACTATAGCAGAGACTGACTAACCCACACACTCACACTTCAGATGATTGGCCTGATAATAGTCATTAGAGAGCGTTTATCTCAGATAGGGTCTTGCTTTCTGGGAAATCTGTCCGTACGCAGATCTTAGATCAGATTGGCACTGTTCCTGCTTCAAATCATGAGGCAGAATCCTCCCACAGGGACAGGCAAAAAGATCCAGAGCTGCTGCCCCATATCTGACACTGATAGTCAGTTTCTGTCTTCTGTTGAACAATAAAGACATTTTAAAGAAAGCTGAAAACTATAGAAGTCAATGGTTACAGTTTTCGAGCATTTTTCTTTATATCTTCTTCCTTGTTTAACAGAAGACAGAAACTCGTAAAAGTTTGAAACAAGTAAAATGTGAGTGAATAATGACTGAATTTAATTTTTGGGTGAACTAACCCCTTTAATATGTTGCGATTGTTTAAAATAGTTTATTCTGAACATACGGCAGCTCCTGCTGATCTCCAGTTAAACCAACTGCCAAGACTCAAGTCTGCCATACTGGCTGCCAGCAGTTATTTTCCAGCATGTCTGTTCTCTGTAAGGTAAAGTGACCAATTATTGCCACAAACATTTATAGCTTTTATTATTCATGAATATGCCCACAGTCTGACTAAGGTTTATGACCACATGAATGCATCACAAGCAGAACTGATTGGTTGATTGGTTAGTGTTGGTTGGTGTTGGTTGGTTTCAGTTGGTTGGTTTTGGTTGGTTTGGATTTGGTCGGTTGGTTGGTTTTGGTTGGTTGGTTGTTTTTTGCTGGTTGATTGTTTTTTGTTGATTGGTTGGTTTTAGTTGATTGATTGGTTTTTAGTTAGTTGCTTGGTTGGTTTTGGTTGGTTTTGGTTTGTTTATTGGTTGGTTGGTTGGTGTTGGTTGGTTGGCTTTGGTTGGGAGGTTAGTTTTGGCTGGTTGGTTAGTTTTGGTTGGTTGGTTGATTGGCTGGTTGGTTGGCTTTGGCTGGTTGGTTGGCTTTGGCTGGTTGGTTGGCTTTGGCTGGTTGGTTGGCTTTTGTTGGCTGGTTAGTTTTGGCTGGTTGGTTGGTTTTGTTTGGCTGGTTGGTTGGTGTTGGTTGGTTGGTTTTGGTTAGTTTGTTGGTTGGTTTTGGCTAGTTTGTTAGTTTTGGTTGGCTGATTGGTTGGTTGGTTTTGGTTGGTTGGTTTTGGTTGGCTGGTTGGTTTTGGTTGGCTGGTTGGCTTTGGTTCGTTGTTTGGTTGGTTTTGGTTGGTTGGTTGGCTGATTATTTTTGGCTGGTTGGTTAGTTTTGGTTGGTTGGTTGTTTGGTTGGTTGTTTTGGCTGGTTGGTTTTGGTTGGTTGGTTGGTTTTGGTGGGTTTTAGTTGGTTATTTTGTTGGTTGGTTTAAGTTAGTTTAGTTAGAATTTTTTTTTACCTATCCGTGACATCCTGTTGTGTTTATCTGTTAAAGTTTTCTTGGAATAAGATATGTGCAGATAAATGTTTCTTTTATTTTTGTTTTTGGGTAGGTAGAATTATCAATAGAAATTTGTGTGTGACTATATGTATGTTGAATTATTTCCATTTGTTTGATACAAATTTGATTTAAAAAAAAACATCCCCTTACAAAAACTTTTTTTTTTATTATGTAGTATTTATTATATTATTATTTATGTATTATTTATTGCATTAGTTTATTGCAAATTAAAGATTATTTATGACATTGTCAAATATTATGCAAAAAGCAACATAAATGTCCAAGAATGTATTAATTATCTATTCAATTAGTTTATTATTGTAGCTGTGAGTCATTCAGAAACTCCTGCTTCAGGAGTAATGCTTAGTGTGTATGGACTAGTCAACATAACACTCAGCCTGTTGTCACCGGACACTTTTAGCATTGACATATCCGTTTGAGGTGTTGTGCATTGTTAGCAAGTGTGAATGATGAAACTAAATTGAGCAACCTACTGGACTAGACGTTTGCATATTGCACACATTGACTTTGAAGGTTACAACCATGCCACAGATCAACATGGAAGCTAACTTGTTAACTTACACACACACACACACACTTTGCTTTGGGGTAATATAATGACCTGCTGTCTCCATTCGACCTCCTGACATTATTCAGCTTTGATGCTGGTGATGGCTCCGCCGCTTACACAGTCATAGGTTGTTTTCTTTTTAGATTTTTAAATTTCATGCTGTTTCATTTTAACTAGCTGCTTTGGCTTGAATTAGGAAATTCTTAGGAAAATTTTTCTATAAGCAAAGAGCCTAATTTCTGCAGAACTAAGAGCTCGTCATAGCTCGCTGAAGGAGTCGGTCTGATAGCAGCGGCCATGACATTTTTACTACAGTGCCCTCCACTTATATCCACTTGTTATGATTGACGTCACGCAATGCAGATTTCAGGTCCAAGGGCTCTATCAGACCATAGAGGGAGGCTCAACAAATGCTCACAAAGCGATTTGATAGAATGTGCCAAGCATATCTGCCAACACTCCCATTTTTCCAGAAGTCTCCTGTATTTCACATACATCTACCGCCAAACATTTTGTCCTTGTTTGACAAGTTGCCAGATCTTGTATGAAGCTCATCACCACACAATTGACAAAATATTCAAATCCCCAAGCATTTTTACCTCAATCTGGCAACATACGTTATAACCCTGTTTCGCTGTTGATTTTTGCCTGTGGTGCTTAGAGTTGAGTTGTTGGTTGGTTTCTGTTTCGTTTGGTTTGTTTGGTTAGGTTTAGTTTGATTGGTTGGTTTTGGTTGGTTGGTTGGTTGGTTGGTTGGTTGGTTGGTTGGTTCGTTGGTTGGTTGGTTGGTTGATTGATTTGGGATTGGTTGGTTGGTTTTGGTTGGTTTTTGTTGATTGGCTGGTTGGTTGGTTTTAGTCAGTTGGTTGTTTTTGGTTTTGGTTAGTTGGTTGGTTTTGGTAAGTTTGCTGGTTGGTTGGTTGCTTGTTCTTGGTTTGGTTGGTTAGTTCTGGTTCATTGGCTAGTTGGTTGGTTGCTTAGTTTTGTTTGGTTGGTTGGTTTGTTTTTGTTTGGTTGTTTTTTAGCTTGGTTGGTTTAGTTTAGTTTGGTTGGTTGGTTCTGGTTAATTGGCTAGTTAGTTGGTTGCTTGGTTTTGGATTGGTTGGTTGGTTTGTTTTGGTTTGGTTGTGTTTTTGCTTGGTTAGTTTTAGTTTAGTTTGGTTAGTTGGTTGTTTTTGGTTTGGTTGGTTGGTTGGTTGGTTGGTTGGTTGGTTGGTTGATTGGTTGGTTTGGTTGGTTGGTTGGTTGGTTGGTTTTAGTTTAGTTCGGTTGGTTGGTTGTTTTTGGTTTGTTTGGTCGGTTAGTTTTGGCTTAGTTTGGTTAGTTGGTCTTGGTTTGGTAGTTTTTTTGTTGGCTGGTTGGTTTTGGTTTGGGTGGTTGGTTGGTTTTGGTTTTGGTTTTAGTTTTAGTTTTGGTTTTGATTTGGTTGGTTGGTCTTAGTTGGTTGTTTGGTTATTTTGTTGATTGCTTGGTTTTGGTTTGGTTAATTAGTTAGTTAGTTAGTTAGTTAGTTAGTTAGTTAGTTAGTTAGTTAGTTAGTTAGTTAGTTAGTTGTTTTGTTGGTTTGGTTGGTTGGTTTGGTTGGTTGGTTAGTTGTTTGGTTGTAGTTGGTTTTGGTTGGTTGGTTGGTTGGTTGGTTGGTTGGTTGGTTGGTTGGTTGGTTGGTTGGTTGGTTGGTTTGGTCCAATTATATCAGATCGCTGTTAAAGCTTATAGAAAGCTTATGTATATTTATTTATTAATACATGTATTACATAAATGAAAAGCTAATTTATTCAGCTTTTGTATGATAAATAAATCTCAATTTTAAAAAATACTCTCATGACATTAGTTTTTCTATAAAAACAATTATCTGCAATTAATTGTTATAGATACATTTTTTGTTCATATGTTGAGAAAATACCAAAACATATTTTGCAACATTTTGTTGAAGACTTTTTCGAAGCCTTCTTTGCACATATTTTCCAAGGGTTCCAATATAAGCGGAGTCCACTATAGACAAAACACAAACATTTACACACCAGTGCAAACCATGCTCATTGCCTGCTGTCTATCTGTGCCCATAACTTATTTTGTCTCCAGAACTTATCACACACACTATGTGCTCTGATCGGTTTCCCTGTATTTTTTGAACACACTGCTGTGAGTGTTTTTGTGCTTACGGACGCTCTTGTCTTTCATGCAGCTGTACGGCTCATGCTATCAGGACAGTAATGATATAAAGGAGACGGTGACGGCAATCACGGAGCTCGGCAGTCCACTGGAGATGATCCAGCTTCTGCAGACACCCTGGGAGGAAAGATTCAGAGTGAGTCAATGCGCATTTCACACACACCATATCTTTGCTGTCAGAGGAGTAAAACATTACTGTAAAACATCACATACAGTTGAAATCAGAATTATTCGTCCTCCTGTAATTTTTTTTCACAGTATTTTATAATATTATTTTTCTAGTTTTTTCTAATTTGTGTTATTTTGGCTAGAATAAAAGTGCTTTTAATTTTTTAGACCATTTTAAGGTCAATATTATTATCCCTTTTAGAAAATATCTGTTTGATTTTTACCCTGCTATTATTTAAGAAAAAAAAATATATTTTTGTAAAAGAATGGCACATGAAAACATTTTCAGTAGTGGGCCTTTAAATGCCTCTAATTTTGCATAATTTCCAATATTATTTATGTAAGATGAATAGCAGATACAGATCATTTACTCTGAATAAACAAGCACAGACAAAATTACATTCATTAGATGAAATTGCAACTATTTCATAATGCAAACAGTTTTAATGACTTCGACCCTTCTGAGCCCACATCTCCTGTCTGCATCCTGAAGCATTGCTCACACATGGTTACTTCAGTGTCCTGCGTTTTTGTGTGTGTGCATGCTGCAGCTTTTCGGCCCATGTGGTTTTTCAGTTCAGCTTTTGCTTGATCGCAATCATTGAAGAACAACTCCCATACTTCCTGTGGCCGCATTACTTCCTGTGCAGTGCAGGAGCTCTTCCTTTGATAACAGTTGCTGCAGATATGAATGAACTTTAAAAACAGAAAACAGCGTGTCATAATAATTTGTGAACATGGGCTTAAATTGAGAGACGTGATCATTTACAGCACAGGTGTCAAACTCAATTCCTGAAAGGCCGCAGACTAATCGAGTCCTTCAGGCTTGATTGAAACCTACAGGTGTGTTGGAGTTAGGCATGGGACGATAACAGGTTTCAAGGTTACCTTTGCTTTAAAACTGCCAATATTTTCTTTTATACCCTTTCTAATGTTTATGTAAGGTTTTTGTTTTTTTCACACTTATTTTATTTAGTTTAGTTTTTCATAGCAATTGTATCTTCAGCAGAAAATGAACCTTTACATCAAAAGCTACTGGTCCAAAATATTTTAAATATTTCATAAAATAAAATATATTGTGTTCAACGAGAGAATTTTTTTTACCCAAATATTTAAAAAGAACTTCTTTTGGAGCAGTGATCACAATACCGTGATACCGTGAAGTTTTATCCAAGGTTATCATACAGTCAGAATCTTATACCAGCCCATGCCTAGTTGGTGTTGGAACTAAACTGTGCAGGGCTGAGTTTGACACTCCTGATTTACATAATCAGTATCCAAACATTCAGTACTTTAATTAGATTGTGTCTGCATATTAGTCAGTATGCAGCTGAATCAGTCTCAAAAATAATATGTTCCTGCTGTTGATTTTCTCAGCACTTTTACAGCTTCTTTAAGGCTTTTCTTGGCCTTCTCTGTCAGGTTTTGGTGACAGAAAAAAGGAGGACCTAATTGTAGGGGTCCAATGTCAGACCTAAAATCAACCAAATATGAACGTCTAGTGATGCTACAGCTTGACCTTATGTGGACGTTACCAATATGACGTCTATTAGATGTTTGATTTTGGTTGCCATACTTGACGAATAAATGTCAGTATTTGACAGTATATGACATTGGTTTAAGATGCTGGCTTGATGTTGGATTTTGGTCACTTTCCAACACAACCTAAAATTAACCAAATATCAATGTCTACGGATGTTACATCTTGACATTGTGTGGATATTTCCACTATGACCTCAATAGGATGTTGTATTCTGGTCACTTTCCAACACAACCTAAAATCAACCAAATGTCAGCGTCTACTGATGCTACAGCTTGACGTTGTTTGGACGTTACCACTTAGACTTCTATCGGATTTTGAATTCTGGGCACTTTCCAACACAACCTAAAATCAACCAAATATCAACGTCTACTGATGTTACATCTTGACATAGTGTGGACGTCACCACTATGATCTCTATAGGACGTTGAATTCTGGGCACTTTCCAACACAACCTAAAATCAACCAAATGTCAGCGTCTACTGATGCTACAGCTTGACGTTGTTTGGACATTACCACTATGACCTTTGTCGTATGTTGGATTCCGGTCAACTTCCAACACAACCTTAAATCAACCAAATATCAACGAATGATGCTACAGCTTGACGTTGTTTGGACGTTACCACTATAACGTCTATCAGATGTTGGATCTTGGTTGCCATACCTGACGAATAAAGGTCAGTATTTGATGTCTACGTGATGTTGGTTTAAGATGTTGGCTCAACTTTGGATTTTGGTCACTTTCTAACACAACCAAAAATCAACGTCTAATGATGCTACAGGTTGTGTGGAGGTTGTGCGGACATTACCACCATGACCTCTGTCAGACGTTGGATTCTAATCACTTTTTAACACAACCAAAAATCAACCAAATATCAACGTCTAATGATGCTACAGCTTGACGTTGTGTGGACATTACCACTATGACCTCTATCAGACATTGGATTCTGATCACTTTCCAACACAACATCATTTGACATCGCTATTGGATGCCAAAATAACATTGTCCTTAAACTTCGGCTAGACATTGAATAGACATTGAATCACCTGATGTCGCAACCTAAATCTAACTTAATATTAACGTCTTATGATGTTGTGTGCCTGCTGGGAATGATGAAAGAATTTTCATACCTGGGTGAACTGTCTCTTTAATAAACTTTGATGTGTCCTGTCTCTTTAAGACGCTAGGCTGTGAAACAAAGCAGAAACACCCCAGCAATGCTTTCACCACATTTGAATTGCGGATGAGGAACTAATAGACTCTGGGGAGACTGTAGACTTCATTGACTTCCAAACAGCTCATTTAGGTCCAAAGCCATTTCCTTTGCACGTTGACGAAGGCTTGTGTGCCTCCACTATACAAAACCAGCTCAAATCAATACATGACAGGCAAGAAAATTTGCACACTGTGTCTGCAAGAGGGTAAAAATTCCGTCTTTACCAGTATATGTCCTCTTGATATCACAATATATCTGACAAAAATATATATTTGAACAAATCATGCTTGTGTTAAAGCAAAATCTCTCAATGTATTTTAAATAGCTTCGCCTCCTTGCAATGGCTTTCTCAGCGGTTTAACCAAAGCTACTGTTTGCCTGCCATGTTAAGCAGGACACAAACTCCGTACGCAGTCACACGGCTGACCTTTCCCAGTAGTTGCTAATCCGGAGTGTATTAAAAGCAGCTTTTGTGTGTTGTGAAAGGCATAGGCAGTGTCTCGTCCACCCCCCAGTGTCCTCTGTGTTTGCTTCTCTTTTATGTCCTCCTCTCCTTCATTTGCGTGTGGTTCCTCCTCCCTGTCTAATCCGCTGAACTCTGTCCCGAGTGTGTGTTGGATGCGGGTCCTTCTTGAATGCGAGGTGTAGCAGCTGCCGCAGCTTCACTCTCAGACCCTCACACACAATAAGAGGGCTGATCTTCACATTCACAACAGGCCTCACACACTCGAGTGCTCCTCGGGGGTTTCAGAGAGCAGCTTTCAGTGCTTGAAGACAGTTTTACTCTTTCTGACTGGATTCTGGGTGAACCTGGTGGTCTCGAATCAGGACCTAGTAAAAGAGTCTTTAAAAGCGTCTAATTTGTGCATTTGGGTTTCCAAGCAAAGTCTTTAGTTTGACTTTGATTTTTTTTGTCACTATAGCTACTAAATTTACTCTTATAATTACTCTTGTTGTTATATCTTTTTCTGAAATAAAAAGTGTTATGGGTAATTTATTTATTCATTCGGTTTTATGTATTTATAAAATTATATAAGAAATAAAATATTTAACTAACTAACATCACACTCGAAGCAGTGCAATATGGCCGTATATTGGCACTGTTGGGAGGCGTGCTTTGGCTCGAGGCAGCAGGCCTGACAACACAGCCCTATCAGTTTGATATTGGTTTTATACAACAGTTCAACGGCATAATCGTGTGTATAAAAAAGAAAATCAAACATGGAGAGTCTCAAAAATCCTTTTGTAAGAGGAAATACTTTCTTCCGCTGGTTATTCACATCTGCAGCTGACTTCAGAACAGCAGAAACCGCTGCTCATTTATCAACATCACTGTAGAGCTAGTATTTGAATGATTCTCTAGCGTAATGTCTAAAGTGATGACAAAATAGATTATTTTTGCTGACTTTAAGGCTGGACGGCATTAAAAGCCATCAGTCTACAGAGATTTACCAGTATTTCTCTGTTGCAATCGGGAGATCACAATAATAAACCCTGAAAACGCCAAAGCAATAAAAACACTAGCAGATTACTATGGTATAAATACAGCACTACAACATACAAAAGAGAGAGATTGATTTAGAATGTCCCCTACCTGTTTAATAATAATTTGATCAGCTGTAGTTTGAAATACGGTCTTATTAAGCATCTCTGTCGCCATCTCGTGGCGAAAGGTCAACCGTCTTTGCTCTGCTCAGTATGACAGGCTGATGGCCGCAGACGCACTGTATTTCCGAAATGACAAATATTTAAAATAGACAGATTCCTTATAAATACACTGCATAGTTGCAATCTAAACAACTATTCTGTCCTAAAAAAGCCTCAAAAGTACATTATGTTATTAAGCATTGTCCAACAGCTGCAATATTTGTCAAACTGTAGTGAGTTTATTGGTGTGCTGTCACTGTATGTGGGCGGAGTAAGAAGGGTGAGGAAGGCTGTATGAGTGCTGTTATTGTAGAATATTGCATGCTATTAGCCATATACATACATACATATATATATATATATATATATATATATATATACATATGCCAGAATAGTTGACAGTTCTTTCCCCTGTGGCGACCCCTGGTAGATAGGGGACTAAGCTGAAGGAAAATTAATGAATAAATGTATATAAACACATATATATATATATATACTTAGTTCTTAGTGACAAATTAAGTTGAAATTATAATTTAAGTTGATACACTTTATTTTGACATTATTTCTGAAAACAAGACAATATTTTTTGCATTTCAAGAAAACGCTTCTTGATTTAAGAATTTTTCAGTAAGTAAAGCATTTTTTGCGGTGTAAAACAAAGGAAGGCATTGTTTTTTGTTTGCATTGTTGATATCAGATACGCGACCGGTTGGAAGTGCGATATGATCAATATAGCATCATTCTTTGTGACATTGTATAACAATAATTAATATTTCTACATTACTGTGACAGTTGGGTTTAGGGTTGGGGTGGGGGCAGACGTTTTTAAAAAAGAATTAATGGGAAATGTAATAAATGTAATAAATGAGTCTGATGAGGCTACAATAGTTATCATAGAAAAATACATTCAATGCCTTTAATTAAATAAAGTGTCACCTTTTTCTGCTGTGTAATACGAAGGAATGCCTTATTTAGATATTTGCGTTGTTAATTTCAGATCTGCTTGAGTCTGATGCGGCTGCTGCATTACCTGGCTCACTCTCCGCTGGGCTCCGTCACACTGCTGGACTTCAGGCCGCGGCAGTTCGTTCTGGTGGACGGAGTGTTGAAGGTGACCGACCTGGACGACGCCAGTGTGGAGGAGACGCCCTGCTCTAAGTCTGCCCCCCAAGACTGTCTGATGGAGTTCCCTGCCCGCAACTTCACCCTGCCCTGCCACAAGGGCCGCTGCCAGGGCATCAACCAAAAGAGAAACCTCTACAATGCTTACAGGTGCCCGCCGCTCATGGAGCTAATGGTTTTTAGCCAGTGATAAACTTCCAGTGAACAGTTTTCAATTTCGCATGGTTCCTTTTACATCATTCATGTTGTAATGTATTTAAAATACGATCAGTTAAATAGACTTAAGCATTCATTTAGTTGTTCGAGCGTAAAATGAGATGAAAGATCGTTTAAATACAAGCGCTGTCAGTAGCAGCAGGCGAGCGCAGAAACTCCATTGAAAATACTGGGGTAAAATAAACGTCCATATTTTAAAGACATGCAACTGAACAACTGAATTTAATGCAGTGCTTTTTGCTTGGTCTGACTCCCGCTGTCTAGCATATCTCAATCAGGCAGTGAAGATCATTAGTTTTTAAAGAAATCAGATCTTAGACGTGTTGATTTTGAGTTCACCGTAAGCGATTGGGCTGGCTGACTGTAAATCAAAAGTCTGTCTGCATATACCCCATTTATTGGAATAGATTTAGGGATTTTAAAACCCTTTACCTGTTACTTTCCCACTGCTTAAATTTACATCACTTTTTAGCAATAAAATCCTAATCTAATCATGATGAACCATACATCGTTGGAAAAGGCTAAGACTCCTAAATACATCTTTTTCTATAGTTATGTTATGTGATGGAACGTTGACAACGGAGGTGCACATCCAAATGCAGGTTTATTAACAGGAATGGTCTGGCAAACAATGGTCAACAGGGTAAAATCTAAGAAAAATCCAGAAGAGTGGTCAATAAGCAGGCGAATGGTCAATCCAGGCGGCTAACAACATAAACAAAACAAACAAACAAAGCGAAGGTCGGCAATGGAAAGACAGGACTGTGAAAATGTGCTGTAATGTTAACTTGACAGATAAACAAGACTCAGCCAAGATGTGTGTATGTGTGCGCGCTGTAAGTCCATGTAATCGGTCTATAACAATCCTCCGGCTGTGTGTGTGCGCGTGCAATCAAAGTGAAATAGAAACAGGTGTGTACGAAGTGCATGATGGAATTTGTAGTTCATATATGTGGTGGATCTGTAGTTCCCAGTGATTTGTGACTGGGGGATCACGTGATGCTTTGAGAGTGACAAGACGTGTTTGTAAGAGCTTCTTGCCAAATAGCTGAATCTTTTACTAAACTGTCATACTAATTGCTTTAAGAGTGCACAGAATTGAGGAGAAAGTGATCAAGATGTCTCTTGATGCCTTTTGGTCGTAATTAGATTCGACTAGTTAACAAGCTGGAAGAAATAAACACCAAAACAAGAGCACTATTGCTGAGCAAGATGGCGCTAATCCAGGCCCAGCTGTTTCTATTTTGTCGAGTGTTCTTAAAAAGAAGTTACTGGCGATAAGCGACCCAATTTCTTAGATGTCAGGCAAATTGGACAGTATGATCCAAGAGAGTCATTCAGGCCGAGCAGATCGCTGGTGACTGTTATTTATTTATTTATTTATTTTTTATTTTTTGTGCAGTATACTATTTTATTTATTTATTTTATTTTATTTTATTTTATTTATTTTTGCCTCATACTTAGGCCATTTTCAGCAGCCAAACATTCTAAGTTGGGTTTTTTTGGAACAAGGTAACCTTTGTATAATTTTTTTTTGTTCCAAAACCATCAGAACTACTAGGATTATCAAGAAACTCAAAGTATTTTAGGATAAAAGTAATTTTTGTTTGCTTTAAAAAATACACATAGATCAACAAATGTTCTTAATAAGACTATTCAAGTAGATAGTGATAATATCTTACATATATTGTATGTCGCAATCTGTTTTACAAAAAGACAAAATATCACAAACCGTCTATTATCACATGCTTTTTTCTGCATTTTTAAGGAAGCAAGATTATTTTGTGTACCCCATTGGCAGATTATTTAGCTTGTTTAAAGTAAAAACTTGCTTGTTTTTTATTATTTCTGAAAACAAGGCAATATTGTTTGCTTTCTAGAAAAAGCTTCCTGATTTAAGACAAAAACCCTTAGGTAAGAAACATTTTTTCAAGTGTGTTAAAATCTCTTCAACAATAGTGTTAGAATAATCAGGTTAAAAGCATATATATTTAATTATATTTGGCTTAGAGTGGGAACCCTGTTGACCACAGCTTGTGCTTTGTGTGTGTGTGTTATGGTGTACAATGCAAACTGAAATATTGACATGGATTTTGGGGTATTTTTCTAGATTCTTCTTCACCTACTTGTTACCTCACAGCGCTCCCTCAGCCCTCAGACCTCTTCTGGATAAAATCGTCAATTCTACAGGTGAGTGTGAATTCACTGCACAAAATCTGACCTCAGAACTACTTAAAACCAAGGGTGTTATAGGTTTTGCCTTTTAAAATTAATTAAAATTTGTTCTTCAACACCATTTTAATTTTCAACAACATAAAATTTTCCAAAACTGTTTGCCAACCTTAGATTACATTACATATTTGGAATCACCAATAAAATTAAACAACACCCGTCTCATAAGTTTTGTTTTTAAACGTTTAAATCAAACAAAATCGGCACATTTTCAGGTTGCCCGAGCTAATGAGCATGCACATGCGCACTTGAAAGGAACTAGACCACGACACCAACCTCATATATAGCCGTTCTACACATTATCATCCTCTGAATAATGATCGCCAGATCGCGCTGCTCTTCTGAAGTAATCCACAACTTAGTCTTGATGGTGAATCTCCTCCAGAAATGACAGCGACTGTGTCTACAAGTTTGTGGGTGTTTGAGTAGTTGCTGTCATGTGCGTTTAACTGGAAGAACTGTACATCACGTTCGTTTCATGCAGATTACAAAACCAGGAAACTTTTGTTTTCAAGTGTAGTCTGTTTATTTAAAAGTACAGATTTCAAGCTTTATGTCGATATATTTCTTATGTCTGTGAAGCAAGTATTCGCTGAGATTCCAGAAAACCTGTCATAAAAGTATGTCAGGTCAAAGCTTTTCCCCTGAGAAACGTTGATGATTGGCTCCTATATTAGTAGGCAGGGCTTCATTCGCCATATTGACCCATTTAAAACTATACAAGTGACATGTCTTGTGTATTCTATAGTCTTTGACTGTGGTCATGATACCTGAATTTGAATACATTTTCAATTGTAAGATTATTTTGCTTACCCCATTTGCACAGTATTTTGCTTGTTTTACGGGGGGGGGAACTCAGTTAATTTTGCCATATTATTTCTTAAAACAAACAATGTTTTGCTTGTTTAGAAAATGTTTCTTGATCTAAGAGTTTATTAATATTTGGACTAGTAACAAGACAGAAATGCACTTTTTGCAGTGTAAGTTATTATAGGAGCTTTTGACTTTTATTGTGGATAGGTAGTTTATTTTTCTGTCGTCTTCACATCCCATCATTTCTCTCTCGGTCTGTTCCTCCCAGCATTCCTCCTGTCTCTTCCCCTAATCTCAGCCACTCTATCTTCATATCCATCAGTGAAATGGCATGTCAGATAGCATCTGAAATGTGTTTTTTTGGGACACAAGCGTCCGTGAAGATGCGGGAAGCGTGTGTGGGCTCAGTCTTGATGCTATCAGTCTCTGCCAGTGTCACGAAACACACATTTCAGCATCTCTCAGCGCATATTCTGATAATTCGCATTAATCTTTGGTAATGTTTTATGATCGTATTTCAGGAGAGCTGATGTGGGGCACTGACGAAACTTTGGCTCACCTCGAAAAAGTGCTGGATATCTACAGGAACGGACATTACCTCAAGAATAACACACGCATGCACAAAACAGGTAAAGAGACATCTTAAAGGGATGCCCATTTTTAGATGTTAGCTCAAAATACCCCACAAATAATGTTTTAAAACTCTCTGAAACTGACCCTTTTAGTCTTAGATCCAAATTGAGCTCTTTGGTGACTGTCACTTTAAATTCAAATGAGATCGTGCTTTTTTCAAAAGAGGGCGGAGCTATGGATGCTTGTGTGTCAGCATAGTGGCAGATTCAAAAACAAGATTAACGTCCTATGCTAATGAGGGAGAGATGGTCACTAGTGGGCGGGGCTTTTCCCCTCTGATGACATCATACAAATCTAGAATGTCAATCAAAGTGTTTCTGCAGACTGTTTATATCAAGTGTGATTATGAAAAATACCAATAATACATTTGTACCATTATGAGCTGGTTATATTCACACACTGTTGACACACATCTGTGTTTAAACCTCGTATAAAAGTGATATTTGCATAATAGGTCTCCTTTAAACTTTAACTATACATATTCAGATGACCATTCACAAAGATCCAGCAATATGATACATTACGATACTTTACAGTATCACTATTGTCAATCGCAGATTAGATAATCCCAGAATACACCACTGTAGGCTCATTTGCTGATGTGATGCAGAGTTGGACTTTTGTTTTTTGACATATAAAGTAATTTTTAGTTCCCCTAGAATTATATAGTTGAGTTTTATCATTTTTGAATCCATTCTGGGTCTTGCAAGAGCACTTTTAGCTTAGCTTAGCATAGATCATTGAATCGGATTAGACAAATAGCAAAAGAGTGTTGATAATTTTTCTATTTAAAGCTTCTGTAGTTATACCATGTATTAAGGCTGATGGATAATGGAAAGTTGTTATTTTATAGGTCAATATGGCGAGAAACTATACTCTCATTCCGGGGTAATAATCAAGGAACTATGCTGCAGCAGCGCAATCATAATATGCACTGGCAGATTATTTTGCTTGTTTTAAGGAAAACATACTTGTCTTTCAGAAATCCTTCAGAAAGAACTACTTGTGAAGGTCCTGGCTGTGAGCAGGGCTCTGATTTATCAAATCTGCGTAGAAACCTTCCTAAACGTTAACGTACACCAAAATAAATAGTAACGTATTTATTAATGATAAGGGCTCATACACTGTAAAACATGCTGGGTTCCATACAATCGATTTGTGTTGGGGCAACATAAAAGAATAAAGTTTCCTTATTAGTTTTTACAAATTTAAGTAGATTAAACATAAAACAATCAAGTTGTCCCCCAAAAAAGTCAAGAAATGTGTTGTTTCTAGGGGTGTCAAAATTAAATGTTTCTTTGGTGCACCGCAATGCAGACGCAGACAATTCGGTATCGGTTCAGTAATAATCATAACCGGTAATTATGTAGTGACGTCATTTATCTCCTATGCGCTCTGTCGCGAGGGAGGTGAGCGCGAGTATTTACAACACAGCCAACTCAGGGCCGGTCCGTGGCATAGGTACCATAGGCAAATGCTAAGGGTGTTGTATATCCAGGGGGCGCCAGAAATGAGCGCGGTTCAGTTGGTTTTGTTTTCGATATTCCTGACACACATTCAGTTATAGACGGCAATAACTCAAAAACCTCTTACCCTAAAAATATCTAAAGTGTGTTTCCTACAGAAAGACAAAGCTGGTTATGTTTCACAGCTGTCTTTCTTTTTTTTCGCTTTACCAGCACTGCTCTGTTTAAGCCCTCGCAATATGTGTTTAGCCGGGAGAGCTCGCGCTGAGAGGAGCTCTCAGTGAGGGACCGTCGGAAAAGTGCTTCTTTTTTTTTTTTTCTGCTCCGCTCTGTGCGAGCTCTCCCTGTTGCGAGGGCTTAAGTGTGTGTGTGTATGTGTGTGTGTGTGTGTTTATACAGACAGCATGTTATGGCCTCCCCCCTAAAATATAATACTGTTTATGGAAAGCATTGTCAATGCACCGTGATGCACCGAGATATCGAATTGAACCGAATCGAAGGCATGATAATCGTAACCGAACCGAACCGTGAGACCTTTATAGGTTCACACCTCTAGTTGTTTCAGGTTATTTTAATGAAGTAGTTTGAATAAACCTAATTTTTTTTAATTTAAAGTAAATCAATTAAGATTCCCGGTGTTGGGTTGCAACTGAAAGGGCATCCGCTGTGGTGACCCCTGATTAATAAAGGGAGTAAGCTGAAAAGAAAATTAATGAATAGTTTGATTAAGTCAGTATTTAAGTTAATTATGTTTACTTAGCCAGTTTCTTTGCCCGACGATTGGGTTGTCGTGGTCCTAACCGTTGAGCACCACTCGTTTCACATTGACCATTTACGGCTCCCCCTGCTGGTTGTGGTCCTGCAGGAGGATGGTCCCCTGTTGCTCCTTCGGGCTAAGTCCGGCCGTGTTCCATGTTGAAAAAAACCCCGCATCGAGCCCCAACCCCAGGCCTGATTCCAGGGTGGGGCCCCGGCTGCACCACACCCCGCAGCATCACGGTCCTTGATGTTAGAAAACTCATAAGGGTTTTTTGAAGGGGTTTGCCATCTCCAGGTTGGAGGACAGTCCTTACTTTAGGTCAGGAGTGTCCAAACTCAGTCCTGGAGGGTCGATGTACTACATATTTTAGTTCCAACCCCAGTTAAACACACCTGAACCAGCTAATAAAGCTCTTTCTATGTATACTAGAAACCTCCAGGCAGGTGTGTTAAAGCAAGTTGGAGCTAAACTCAGCATGACACCGGCCCTCCAGGAATGAGCTCGGACATCCCTGCCCTAGGTGGAGAAGTTCAAGTATCTTTCTCTATCGTTTTGTTCACGAGTGAGGGAAGGGTGGAACGTGGGATTGACAGGCGGATTGGTGCAGTGGCAGGCGGTCGATGTATCGTCCGTTGTGGTAAAGAAGGAGCTGAGCCTAAAGGCAAAGCTCTCGATTTACCTGTCAATCTATGTTCCTATTCTCACCTATGGTCATGAGCTTCGGGTTATGACCGAAAGGACAAGATCTCGGATACAAGCAGTTGAAATAAGTTTCCTTCACAGGGTGGCAGGGCGCACCCTTATAGATAAAGTGAGGGGCTCTGTCACCTGGAAGGAGCTTGGAGTTAAGCCACTGCTCCGCCACATCGAGAGAAGTCAGCTGAGGTGGCACGGGCATCTGTTTCAAATGCCTCCTGGACGCCTACCTAGGAAGGTTCCCACCAGGAGGAGACATCAGGGAAGACCCAGGAAACTCTTTAGGGACTATTTCTCTGGGGAGAGGGAAGTCAGGGGTTCTCTCCTAAAATTGCTGCCCCCGCGACTCAGCCCTGGAAAAGCGGTTAAAAATGTATGAATGAATGAGTTTACAGCCGCACACATTCTCCAGTCAAGTTTATTTTTAATAAATCACCACTGTTGCGTAGGAAGTAAGGGTGTCACAATCCTCCAATTCGTCGATTTGATTCGATTTTCGATTTAAAAAAGAAAAATTAAACAAAATCATAAACAAATCATACAGTAAATAAATAAAGATAAATAACAACCATTATTGCCACCTGTCAATCACTTTTTCCACGGGACTTGTGAATAGGCAGTGATCTGTGTCCTTATAATGGCGTCGGTAAAAAAGGTGCACAACCAACAGGAACCAGCCAACAGTATCTGAGGTGTTCGCTAAAATTACTAAGTACAAGTGTTAATTGTGAAAGTGAAAGCTTGAAGCAGTCTACTGACCCGCTGACTGCCTGGACTGCGCATGACAATGTGTGTGCGTCTGTGTGTGTGCCTGCCTGTGTGTGTGTGGTCACGTGATGTGCGTTTTCAGCGGTAGTGAGGAAGAAGGGCTGCTCAGAAATGCTACACGCCAGTGTGGATGTGGATCGTTATCGTTAAAAAATGTCATTTAAAAACTACGACCTATTAGTGTAAACAGGGCCAGAGTGTGTATTGTTTGTGAGCGGATTTGCAATGCGGGCGGAGGATTGCGATGCCCGTGTTGTCTATCGGCCCAACCTTAATACATAGCAGAGCTTGCAAACTGTGGGTTTTTTTGTCGACAACACGAACGTTGTCAACATAACTCACTGGAAATCCAAAATACTTTCACACCGGCGACTTCATAGAAAGAGGAAAGTGTTTAAGTTCTGTCGACGGGTCTTCTGCGTCTGCAGTTCAACAAGCTCTTCAACAAGCCTGTTTTTTTTCGCTTGGCAAGCCAAGCTGACGTGACATAGAGGCGTGGCAGCATCGACGATTCCATTTTTTGATTCGATAATCGAAATTGAGCATAAATTTCGAACGATTTTGATTTAAAATCGAAATCGTGACACCCTTAGTAGGAAGTGGCGTATGCACATTTCCGCACCTGTTTTTTTTTTGTCATGATTATACAGTAAATCAGACCCCAGATCTCCTCAATCCCCCTGACATTAAACAGTTGTTCAGTCAGCAGAGAAAGAGATTTTTGTGCGTGCATGTAAGGACAAACGAAAGGAGATTTAGAAAGATTAGAGTTTATATAACTGCTGAGCCTGACGGACCAAACAGAAGAAACATCTCCAGTCTTTTCCTACTCGCTCCACCCCTGTTTTTACTCCTTTCTCCATATTGTCTTGTTGGTTGTGTGCTCTTCCTCCTGCTCTTCTCTATGCTTCACTGGCCGTCTAAAGCACACTTGATGACTGATGAGAGATTTAAGCAAGTGTGGGCCATTTTTTTTTTCTTCTCAGACATTTAACTCTTTCAACTTTTAACTGTTTAAAGGGTGTAAATGTAATGTACAGAGGTTTTTCACAGTGGTCAGAATGAGTAGTTATAGAGTTTTGGTGCCTCCAGTGTTCAAAACAAGCTTAAATACATATATCTTAGTCTACTTTTTAAAATGATCCATAAAGGAAGTGCATTCCATGATTTGGGGGCTTTGAATGAAAAAACTCCTTCTCCCATAGACTATAGTTGCATTGAGGCTGATGGAGTAGGATGGAGATGGAGTATATACACTTAAAAGAGAGCAAAGATACTCAGTCGGGAGCCCAACAAGCATTAAAGT